GATAGATAGATAGATAGATAGATAGATAGATAGATAGATAGATAGATAGATCCTCTGAAAGTGTAACCCAAAGTTAGTATTTCTAACTCTAAGTTGTTCTTCTCAAAGTACCTTTTACAGTCAGGAAAAGTCCGACTCACACAGTGACTGCCAGGTGGGAGGCAGCACATGCAGCCTGGCCATGCCAGAGAAAAGAATAAACAACCTGGGAGAGCAAAGCAGCACAGCACAGGATGGCCTCCCATGGCTCAGAGAAGCACACACTAAAAAAACAGACGAATTGTTGATTTCTGCATTGTTTAATTAAATACGTCTCTACTGCATCAGCCACAAGTAACTGAAAGTGTGGGCTGCAGATGAGGGGACCACTGTCTTCTCTGTGGATGAGCTGCAGGAAGGGTTTTATCTTCTCTGGAGCCAGAAAGCTTGCAAGTGGATGGACAAGGACGTGAGAGTAGCTCAATCATCACACCAGTGTTGCTTGTTTTAGCAGGGGTGTCAGCATACAAAACGCCCTAGGAAACAGAGGCTGAAACAATCCTTAGTGGCCACTCTGTTTCTGGGGGCAGGGAGTGAAATAAATCTGAACAAGAGCTAGCCTCGGACTTGAACGGTGTGTAGCCTTTCTCTGTGATCTCAAAGTCCTGCTCCTAGTGAGTGACACTGGGCTTTTTAAGGACTTCACAGGGCAGTCTAGCCAAGGGAACAATAAGACACTGGAGAGTGGAGCCAGGTAGGCAAAGGGACATTTTTAAGTAATCTGTTAGTGCCTTGAATATTGTACAACAATAAGCCTTTTGTACCTGTAAAAGAAAAACATCAGTATTTAGCTGCCTGGCTGTTTACAACATCTCGTCCAATGACAATGTGTTATGTTTTTGTGTATCTGCCTTTAAATGCAGTACCTCATTATTATGAGAACTCTTAAAATGCAATGAAGTTTCAAGCTAGAAAATTCTTAGATGCTGAAATGAGGAGAAACTGGGTCATAGTGAACCGAAGGAGAAATTTGAAACAGACATTTTGTTTGGCACAATTTGTAGTCGGAGGCACAGAAAAATTCATTGTTCCCATTTGAATGAGACTGGAAAGTCATGTTTTGCACCTTGGCAACTTTGGGATCAAAACATAATCTTTCTTGTCTTCCTTCTATCTTCTCTGAAACAAAGTTTAGTGCTACCAACCAGTGTTGGGAGAGTTACATGCAAGGCTGAGGGAGGCTCCCTAACTGAAAAGCATGTTTGTGTTGCTCTATTTTGTTAAAGGCTTTTTCTTTATTAAAGTGAGCCTAACGTTTCATTTTTTTATTAAAACAATTAGAATTAATTCTTAGTGAGGAAGTAGAAACTCTTCTTATGTAGCTGTCCTTGTTTTCTCTGATTTTGCAGGTCTACCTTCTTGCAGCATGCCTTCCTGTCTCCCAGAATTTAAAGCTAAATAGTATTGAGTAGATTATACATCGGCTGTATTCTAAATTCAGGAGATATGGAGTTATACAGTAAAAGTTGCATCCCTTACGTAACCCCATCCCTTTGGTCCCCAGTTCTTCTCTCGAAGCTATCTGTTCTCATTTCCTTTCTGCTATTATGATGAAACACCCCAACCAAAAACCAGAGACGG